AGAGCACCATGATCACTCACAAAGCACCAGGATCACACACAGAGCACCAGGATCACACACAGAGCACCAGGGTCACTCACAAAGCACCAGGATCACACACAGAGCACCAGGATCACTCACAGAGCACCAGGATCACTCACAGAGCACCAGGATCACACACAGAGCACCAGGATCACTCACAGAGCACCAGGATCACTCACAGAGCACCAGGATCACTCACAGAGCACCAGGATCACTCACAGAGCACCAGGATCACTCACAGAGCACCAGGATCACTCACAGAGCACCAGGATCACTCACAGAGCACCAGGATCACTCATAGAGCACCAGGATCACTCACAGAGCACCAGGATCACTCATAGAGCACCAGGATCACTCACAGAGCACCAGGATCACTCACAGAGCACCAGGATCACTCACAGAGCACCAGGATCACACACAGAGCACCAGGATCACTCACAGAGCACCAGGATCACTCACAGGGCACCAGGATCACTCATAGAGCACCAGGATCACACACAGAGCACCAGGATCACACACAGAGCACCAGGATCACACACACAGAACACCAGGATCACACACAGAGCACCAGGATCACACACACAGAACACCAAGATCACACACAGAGCACCAGGATCACTCACAGAGCACCAGGATCACTCACAGAGCACCAGGATCACTCACAGAGCACCAGGATCACTCACAGAGCACCAGGATCACTCACAGAGCACCAGGATCACTCACAGAGCACCAGGATCAGAGCACCAGGATTACTCATAGAGCACCAGGATCACTCAACGAGCACCAAGATCACTCACAGAGCATCAGGATCACTCACAGAGCACCAGGATCACACACAGAGCATCAGGATCACTCACAGAGCACCAGGATCACACACAGAGCACCAAGATCACACACACAGCACCAGGATCACTCACAGAGCACCGTGATCACTCACAGAGCACCGTGATCACTCACAGAGCACCGTGATCACTCACAGAGCTCTAGGATCACTCACACAGCACCATAATGGGATTCATGGAGCTGATATCATAAAAGGGGGTAGGGGGGGAAAGAAGGAGGGGGAAGGGGGGTGGGTGGGAGGGAGGGAGGAGGGAAGGGGGGAGGGGGAGGGGGGAGGGATAACATTAACCATAAGATAACGAGAGGGAAAGCAGAGGGAGAAGGATAAGATAACGGTATTCATTAGATAGCGAGCTAAGTGGGCCATAGGGTAGATACTCCACTCTAGTGAGTAGATGGGTGAAGTAGATACTCTGTCAGGTAGATATGTGGTGTACTCAGGCAGGTAGATTTGTATACTAGATAGATAGATGGGTGAGGCAAATACTCAGACAGGTAGATGATTGGAGTAGATGCTCGTGCAGGTAGATGGTTGGAGTAGATGCTCGGGCAGGTATATAGTTGGAGTAGATACTGGGGCAGGTAGATGGGTGAGGTAGATACTATGGAAAGTAGACGGGTGGGGTACTCTGAAAGGTAGAATGGTGAAGATTTTCAGGCAGGTAGATGGGTAGGGTAGATATTCTGAAAAATAGATAGGTTGGGTAGATACTCTGGAAGCTAGATGTGCGGGGTAGATACTCTGAAAGATAAGTGAGGTAAGATATTCTGGATAGTAGATGGCTTGGGTAGATTTTCAGGCAGCTGAGGTAGAGTACTTACACAGGCAGACAGATGAGTGTGAGAGATTCTCAGAAAGGTAGATGAATTTGACAGATAGGCTGAAAAGTAGACTAGTGGGGTAGGAGCTCTGGAAGGTAGATGGTCGGAGTAGATATTCTTTTAGATGGATAGAGTACATGCTCAGGTAATAAGACGGTTGGGGGTAGATTAAAGAAATCGATGGAGTAGATCCTCAGGTAGGTAGATCAGTAGATAGGTCAAGAGGAAAGGACAATATTAAACGAACCGTTATCATGAGTGATTTGTGATAACGTGATAACATTAATGAGAGAGAGAGAGAGAGAGAGAGAGAGAGAGAGAGAGAGAGAGAGAGAGAGAGAGAGAGAGAGAGAGAGAGAGAGAGAGAGAGAGAGAGAGAGAGAGAGAGAGAGAGATTTTTCTCTCAGCGGGTCTCAGCTACAGAAGACATTCTATAAGAAAGTATCAATGTCACATATGTGTATAACAGACACTGTCACATGTGTATCGGTACCGCAGGTGTTTATATGTTTATATATATTTATATAAACTTTATATTTATATATATAATTTATATATTATTTATATATATTTATATATTTATATTGTCTATATATATTCAATGTTCCTGAATTTATATATTTTTCTAAATTTTTTCTTATGAAATGATAAAGTTATCCATTTCATTATGCATAAGTTAATTTGTTTAAATTTGAGTTAAAACTAACGTAGATATATGACCGAACCTAACCAACCCTACCTAACCTAACCTAATCAAACCTACCTAACCTAACCTAACCCTACCTAACCTAACCTAACCAACCCTACCTAACCTAACCTAACCAACCCTACCTACCTAACCTAACCAACCCTACCTAACCTAACCTAACCAACCCTACCTAACCTAACCTATCTTAACCTAACCTAACACAACTAAGTTAATAATTTATGTTCCTAATATAATATAGTAATCATAATTGAAATAAACTAATTGGAAACAATTTATGGAAAATAAAGAAAATTACTTGGCCTATTAGGCAAATCGGACCTTGCATAGTAGGCCGAGAAGTGCATTCTGGCTACTAGGTACGACATATATATATATATATATATATATATATATATATATATATATATATATATAATATATATATATATATATATATATATATATATATATATATATATATATATATATATATATATATATATATATATATATATATATATTTCCATGGTCAGTTGGGATGGTAGATTCGTTATAAACTACAAGTTTTCTATTGGTATTGTAAATGGTAAAGCATGTATGCTTTCTAATTGATAATTAAATAAAAGTGTTTGATGGGAAGTGCTTCTGCTATGTCTATGCTCCAATTGTAAGTGTATCTCTCGAATAATTTCACTGTTGCTGATCAGGATCTCTCTGGTGATGATTTGGTTGTGTGTGTGTGTGTGTGTGTGTGTGTGTGTGTGTGTGTGTGTGTGTGTGTGTGTGTGTGTGTGTGTGTGTGTGTGTGTGTGTGTGTGTGTGTAGAAATGATGTGATGGATGTTCGGGCATTGGCAGGTATGGTCAAATAGTTTGTCGTCTTGCCCATATACTGAGATCGTTGAGGCTGACTGCAACCAAATGGGTGTGTAAAGGCATAGTCGACTTATGTCTCTTTTTGAAGGCGCTCCGTCTGGTGTCAGGAGAGTTCTTGATGAGACAGTTGGCGGTCTATGTTACTCTTGTAGTATATATGTTGAGCTGCGTCTTGCAGGTCGGCGTTCAATCCCCGACCGTCCAAGTGGTTGGGTACCATTCCTTCCCGTCGTCCCTTCCCAAAGCCTTATCTTGACTCCCCTCCTAAGTGCTATATATATATAGTCGTAATGGCTTGGCGCTTTCCCACCCTGACACCTTCCTTCCCTTTTACGGCCAAATAAAGTGCATTTCTCTTGAAAAAACGAAATTTCATTACAAAATTTCTACTAACGTCTTGGTTTTCAGTGCAGGGAAACTCACTTGCTTCCACCTCACTGTTGACGAGTTCTATGTCGCCACAAGTCACTGTAAACTGGATGGATATCTGCCCCCGACACTTACTTTCACACCGAAGAACACTTCCTTCACCCACTCAAGACTTAACAAGACTGGAGTCTCCCGAAACAGCCCACCCTCCTTCAGAACCCACCATGAACCAGACATATATATATATATATAAATATACATATACATATATACACATATCTCTCACCAAACGCTTAATATTTTATCTTCTAATTTGGTGTTGATAATTGTAGCAAGCGCCGCGCGGGTCCAGGCCAGACGGGAACCGTGAAAGATATCAAAAGCTAAGTTGCAGCAGTCACGCTATCGGTGAAGAGTATGCACTTGCGGAGACCTACTTCGCGGGTGGCGGTCAATCACTTCGCGGACGCAGCGCCGCGAAGTGAGTCACTGCGTCCGCGATGTCTCCTGTGACTTCACTTTCACAATTAAATATATTATGGGCCGTGTCGGTGGAATTGAGAGTAAAAATATATAATTTTGGCAAGATTGCAAGGTGATGAATTATCATAAAGGTGAGTGTAGTGGTGATAGTGGTGATAGTGGTGATAGTGATAGTGATGGTGACACTAGGGGAGGGGGACAGGACCGATGACAGTTGTGGCGGCCACCACAACAGGGAGCTTAAAGCCCAATATCCCCCTTGATGACGTCACAAAGGGTGCTTCAGGAAGAAGGGGGATGGAAGAGGAGGGAGATGGAAGGAGAGGGATGGAGGGGAGAGAGGGAGAGAGGGATAGATATAAGCGTCAGAAAAAAACTGATCCTTAACACACATGATAATAAGAGCTGTTCTTACACAGACATTTGTTCCAGCTATGACACATGGGGTTCCCCCGTCCCCCAAAACTGCCCTACCCTCATCCCTACCCTCATCCCTACCCTACTTCTCTTACCCTAATGTACTGACTACCAGAGAGCAATTTAGAATGTAGACTATGTGACTGAGGTAACACTAAGGTAGCCAAAACAACATTAAGGTAAGCAAACATATTAAGGTAACTAAAACAAACATTTAGGTAACAAAAGCACCCATAGAATCTATTATAACTATTTTATTTTATTTTTTATTTAAAGAATCTATTTTATTATTATTTTTAATAATAAAAATAATAATAAAAACTTTAATAAACTCTTAAAATACGATAATATAATACTTGCAATAATGAAAATAATGTCAGAAAAATATATATAATAAAACTAGTCTAACAAATAAAGTCACTAATCAATAAGCTAAACAATCATAAAGCAAGTAAAGCCAGCTAAAGCCACATTGGCGTACGATGACTGATTGTAAAGCCACTCATCAACGGGAAACGGGCCCACAGCAACGGGAAACGGGTCCACAGCAACGGGAAACGGGCCCACAGCAACGGGAAACGGGCCCACAGCAACGGGAAACGGGCCCACAGCAACGGGAAACGGGCCCACAGCAACGGGAAACGGGCCCACAGCAACGGGAAACGGGCCCACAGCAACGGGAAACGGGCCCACAGCAACGGATACATCACCCAGAGCAACGGACACAGCACCCACAGCAACAGACACAGCACCCAGAGCAACGGACACAGCACCCAGAGCAACGGACACAGCACCCAGAGCAACGGACACAGCACCCACAGCAACGGACACAGCACCCAGAGCAACGGACACAGCACCCAGAGCAACGGACACAGCACCCAGAGCAACGGACACAGCACCCAGAGCAACGGACACAGCACCCAGAGCAACGGACACAGCACCCACAGCAACAGACACAGCACCCCTCAGCAACGGACACAGCACCCAGAGCAACGGACACAGCACCCAGAGCAACGGACACAGCACCCAGAGAGCAACGGACACAGCACCCAGAGCAACGGACACAGCAGCACCCAGAGCAACAGAGCAACAGACACCACCTAGAGCAACGGACACAGCACCCAGAGCACACAGCACCCAGACAACGGACACAGCACCCAGAGCAACGGACACAGCACCCAGAGCAACGGACACAGCACCACAGCAACGGACACAGCACCCCCCAACAACGGACACAGCACCCCCCCAACAACGGACACAGCACCCCAACAACAACGGACACAGCACCCCCCAACAACGGACACAGCACCCCCAACAACGGACACAGCACCCCCCAACAACGGACACAGCACCCCCCCAACAACGGACACAAGCACCCCCCAACAACGGACACAGCACCACCCCCAACAACGGACACAGCACCCCCAACGGACACAACCCCCAACAACGGACACAGCACCCACCAACAACGGACCACAGCACCCCCAACAACGGACACAGCACCCCCAACAACGGACACAGCACCCCAACAACACACGGACACAGCACCCACAACAACGGGACACATCACCCCCCAACAACGGACACAGCACCCCCAACAACGGACACATCACCCCCAACAACGGACACAGCACCCCCCAACAACGGACACAGCACCCCCCAACAACGGACACAGCACCCCCAACAACGGACACAGCACCCACAACAACGGACACATCACCCCCCAACAACGGACACAGCACCCCCAACAACGGACCACAGCACCCCCAACAACGGACACAATCACCCCCAACAACGGACACATCACCCCCCAACAACGGGCACAGCACCCCCAACACGGACACATCACCCCCAACAACGGAC